CGGAAGTTCAGCTGCAGTACCTAGGAAAGCCGCCAGGGGGCCCAAAATCTAATCATTTCTAGGTCTCATGAAGTCCTACCCACCTACCAAGTTTCATTCCAATCCATCCACTGCTTCTCGAGTTATCTTGCTAAACCACACACACACACACACACAAACCCACAGACAAACGCTACTGAAAACATAACCTTCTTGGCGAAGGTAATAACAGCTTTTAGGGGTTCATCTGTGTGAGCCCTGCCAACAAAGATGTCCCTCAGTAAAGCTACTTGGACTACACACCATGATCAAAACCTCACATACGACAACCACATTGCTCATATAGTTCAGAAGTGCAACAGAAGCTTGGCACAGGTGGGAAGGGTTAAGGATTTACTACCGAGTCGGCAGAGAATAGCCGTTAGTCAACACTTTTAGTTAATAATCCTACATATAGACTTACTGTTGCTCTGTATGGGGAAACACAACTCAGAACAACATAAGAAGACTACAGGTGGTCCAGAACAGGGCAGCAAGGCTAGCTCTTGGTTGTGATCGTGATGTACATGTGGACACCATGCGGAAGACCTTAGGATGGCTGACTGTCAGGAACAGAATCCAACAGACTGAAGCCTTGTCAGTTTTAAACGAATAATGCTCACCAAACAACCAAAGGCTTTGTACGACAAAATCACATTTCAATCTGAGATTCACGACTACCGAACACGCTCAACCAGTACAAACAAAATCAGACTACCAAAACCGAAATCTAACACTCAGAAAAGGCGCTAAATTCTGTACAGAATGTCACAATTGTGGAACAACACAGGCGCCAACTAGCAAAGTATTGGACTGTAAATAGTGAATTTAAGGAATTGTGTTTTTTTTGCTACATACTGTTAACTTTGTAATGTTTTTGTACGTTCCTCTTCACTTGTAATACATGTAACTATGTAATACTATGTAATGTGTACACCACAGGGAGAATAGCCTCTTATGAGGCTAATTGTGAATCTAAATTAAACTCAAACTGAAAAACTCAGATGGACTTTCATGCTACTGTATTTCATCTCTGTTGTACAGGCGACACTTCAGCATGTCCAACAAAGCCAGGAGGATGCTGGTTCTTCTGCTGATCATCCTAAAGGAAGCTGGCCCGACCGCAGCCTGCAGCAGCAGCTGTTCATCACGCTGTAACTGCCGCAGCAGAGGCCTCAGCAGTGTTCCTCAGGACCTGCCTACAGACATCACTAGGCTTGACTTGTGGGGCAATTCCATCAGAACCTTAAATCAGTCTGATTTCTCAAGGTACAGGAGCTTGATAATATTAAACCTAGGTTTCAACCAGATCTCCACGATCCAGAACAAAACATTCCACAACTTAACCAGCCTAATTGACCTGTTCCTTAATAACAATCGTTTAACCACTCTGTCAGCTGACATATTTGTGGGACTTGGTAATCTGCAACTCTTGTATCTTTCCCATAACCAGTTAACAAGTCTGCCAGCTGACATATTTGAGGGACTTGGTATTCTGTGGATGTTGACTCTTCACACTAACCAGTTAACCACTCTGCCAGCTGACATATTTGTGGGACTTGGTAGTCTGTGGTACTTGACTCTTTCCACTAACCAGTTAACCACTCTGCCAGCTGGCACATTTGTGGGACTTGGTAGTCTGCTTGACTTGTATCTTCACACTAACCAGTTAACTAGTCTGGCAGCTGGCATATTTGAGGGACTTGGTAATCTGCGGTACTTGGAGCTTTACAATAACCAGTTAACAAGTCTGCCAGCTGGCATATTTGTGGGACTTGGTAACTTAGAGTGGCTTTACCTTCAAAGTAATAACATCCACAGTATTGAGGCAGGCACCTTCAATGACACAGCAAAGCTACGTCGTCTATACCTTCAGTACAACAACATCAGCACCATCACAGCTGACACATTAGGGAATCTACCTCAGCTTGAAACACTGAAACTTTCTCATAATAACATCAGCACCTTCTCTGTAGAGGCCTTATCAAACTTGAATATGCTGTCAGAGCTTACATTAGATAATAACCAATTAGAGACACTACCCCTCATGGCATATGACATACTGGCCTCCATCTCTGATGTAAACATTGACAACAACCCCTGGCAGTGTGACTGTAGGATGGTTCCCTTTAGGCAGAGGATGAACGGGTCTTACCCATTTGAAAACCGGATCAGATGTGCCGGACCTGCTAACCTTACAGGGCAACTCTTACAGGATGTAAGTCCTGAAGACCTGATCTGTGAAGAGACGACACCCGTCTACTCCACTGCCAGCACTAAACACATGGTTACCTCTACTCTTAGCTTGTCTCCAGTCAGCAGCCCTACTCCTTTTCATCTGTCAGAAATGTCAACATCAAAGGCACTGAAATTGCCCCAAAGTCCCAGCAACACACCCACTGCTGACTCTAACCCAGGCTGGTCTATAGTCAGTACTGACTCTCCTTTTGGTTTTCAGTCGACAATGACTGAAAGCAATACTGGCCCTGCTGATGGTGGCATTTTCCTGTCTGTGCCCTTGCTTGCTACCTTGGGAGCTATTTTTGTACTCCTCCTTATCTGCACTATTGGCTTTGCAGTAGGGTGCATGTATATGAGGAGGCAAAGGGATCCTAACCCTCTGCAAGGCTTTAGTAACACAAATCCCACAGGCACATCCAGTGGTCATGACCAGATAAGTCTGGATAAAGTAACAAGAGAAGAGGTTAATACAGAAGACAGTCAGCATATCTATAACCTCCCAACAGATGAGGACCCTGACACAGCAGAGTACAACACCATAGACGATATTGATCAGTCAGAAAGTTCACACCAAGATGCAGGCAACAGGCCTTGACAGCTTTGATTATTTGAATTTGACCCCTTCGCTTCCCTCTAAAATTCAAACTGGGCAAATTCAGCATCTGGGCAGCTTTAATGATGGCTATGAGATTCCATCTCCCTCCCTGTACCCTGGAGAAGGTCCACAGTCCCACAAATATGTGAACAGCCATGTGGCAGCAGCTGCTAAAGATGCTGCAGCTGGTCCACAGGATGTGGTGTATGGTTATGAGAATTATGAAGAGTTAGTTAATAACCAATCACAGACAGCGGCTGCCCCTGGTGCTGACAGCCCTCACCACTATGAACCCCTGAGGAACCCCAGCAGTCAGCAGCACACATACACATCCCTGATGCCTCATGGTTCCCAAGGCAATTAGACGATTGGTTGATGATTGACTCATAGATTGACGCCACCAAATAGCATCTCCTTTGAAGAATTACTCTCTAAAACAATGGTTGGCCCTGAGTAGAGTCTTGGGTGCCATCCTACTTGTATACCGGGGCTTCCATACTCACTCCCCTAAAAACCAAGTCCTGACACATTATGGCCAGAAAAACAAACCAGATCACAGGTTTGACTTTTGAGGAAATTTGTGGATGGTGCTTGTGTGTAAATCTTTAAAATTAGTACCTGGTCTCAAGAAAAAGTTACAAGGACAGACATGTAGGATCCTTGACCAGTAGTACCAAAACAGACATATGAAAGATTGTGTGGAATCCTAATAAACAATATATATTTATAGTACCTTAATGATCTGGGCTCAAAATACTGGGTGCGTGTGCACCTTACTTAACTTGTGCACCTTAGTACCCAAATTTGGAGCTGTGCACCCGATCAATTTTTTTCTGTAGATGCACTAGTGCACCCAAATATTTTTGAAGGTTTATGTATGTAAAGATGTTAAATGTATAGTGTAGTATAGTACATGTATGCAGCATATTCTTAACACCCAAGTGTCAGAAAAATAATCATTGTTATAGTCCTTTTCTTAATAGAAAAGAAATATGAATAGTTTTTGTATATAAACAAAAGCAAATTTAAAATTTTTAAAACTGTGGTGACTGTGGAATTTATCAGAAATATTCTGTGATTTTTATAGCTTTCAGTAAACTTAACTCCACATGTTGGGGTGATGGATAGTTTAATTAATTACTAGTGTGTATAAATTTCAATGCATTGTATGTGAATTCACTGTTAAAAGATATACTGCACTAAAAGTAAAATCTGATTAGAATGTGAAATTGTAGGTATAGTTTTAAATTGAGTTGAATGTGTACTTACCAATGGCATATATACTCACATAAAACATACTCACATAAAACATACATAATTATTATTGTATGGAAAACTAGTTACTAGAAGAAGATAAGTTGTAGGGACCAGTAGAGAGAGAGAAGACACTGGACGATGGTAGAACTGACAGTAGGCAGGGACTTCAAATGTACCTTAGATTAGGAAGGGAATAAAAAGGAGGTGTTCAAGTCCAGTCTTTGTCTGTGGTGTTCATGTCTTGGGTAGAGAGATTTTATTAATAGGCTGAATCCTCACACTGAGACTCATATATATTATTATACTGTGACTGGTTTTATTTTCAAGGTTTTTGCCGTGGTCTCTTTTAACTGAGAAATTGTTACACCACAAATAGTTCTTTAGAACCTGTACTGCAGAATTGTTTTAACCGTGGACTTCAAAGAAATGCAAAAACCTCTTTTTCCTTCCTACTGCAAAAGAAAGCCACCAGGAAGGTAGATAAATTTACACTACAGTACTAGAATATGACCATAATGTTCTGAATGATGAGTATTTTTTTCTTGTTTGCTCAAGTTCTCAATGCTGCATATTTTGTAACAAGATGCAGTTTGGGCCTTTTTCAAATGAAACTACAACTGTGACAGTGACTGTGTACACCTTGTTCCTACCTGGCTGATGATGAAGAAGATGACAGTCGTGGCAGCACACAGGAGAGTGAACAGCATCAGGAACTTGAACCGGTAGATCAGACCCTGAAAAACACAAAACAGTGTACTGTAAAACACATGTGTTATTAGTAACTTATCAATGCTTTATCTTGCTAAAGAGAGCAAACCAAAACAAAGCAAATCCAAATACAATGTTTAGTTATAGGTGTAAGAGAGAGAGAGAGAGAGAGAGACAGACAGACAGAGACAGACAGAGTGAAAGAGAGAGAGTGTGAGAGACAGAGTGAGAGAGAGAGAGACAAGGAGAGAGACAGAGGCAGTGAAAGAGATAGAGGGAGTGAGAGAGACAGTGAGAGAGACAGACAGAAAATCAGAGAGAGAGCAAACCAAAACCAAAGCAATTCGAAATATCAATGCACTGACTTACTCTGTAACCAAGTCTGACAACAAGTCTCTTGTCACCACTGCAAACGTCTGGCCGTGGCTCTTTGGAAACTCAACTGGCGTCACCAACGTCTCTGTGGGGCGTCAACGTCTCCCAGCCACAGGAAACATCCATAACAGCGAGATCACCTGGATAGACGGCAAACAACACACACTCTAAATGTGACGACCATACGGCAGCGCCCCTAGCAGCGTCTGTACAAGGTGCAGTGTAAATACTGAGTATAAATACAGTATTACTCATATTATACAGTTGACCGGTGTGGTTGAATTAGCAGTTTCAGTTCCTTCCATCAATATCCGTGCTCTCAGAAAACGTAACAAATCTTTCTTTACAAATCCATGCTCCTGGGAAAACAGAGCAGAACAAGTAGAGAACAAGTAACTACCAATAATAGTGTATTACATGTCTAGTGCACAATGGGTTTACTATGGAGACATCAACTACTATTTTCAAGCCCGTAAAAATATACTGACTGAGTATAAACCGACCTTGTGCTCAGTCAGCTACCTATAATACACATAGACACGATTGACGCTGGCATGGCCGCCGCTACTCGTGTTACAAGACACGCAAGTGCAGCTGTGTGTAACGCTGTAAGTTTGCACCGACATCTCAGCACCAAGGACAGGGACAGTTTGCCGTTCTTTCCGCTTGTCGATTTCTCTTAACGTTCGTATGGTATCCAGAGCGGTGCTTTATCTAGAACTATGCTGACATGGCCGCTACTACTCGTGTTACAAGACACAGGAGTGCAAGTGTGTAAGTTTTCACCGACATTTCAGCACAAAGGACAGGGAAAGTTTGCCGTTCTTTCCGCTTGTCGATTTTCTCTTGACGTTCGTCTTGTATCCAGAATCGTGGTTTAACAACAACTTTGCTGACATGGCCGCTGCTACTAGTGGTACAACACACGTGAGTGCAGCTGTGTGTAACGCTGTGAGTTTGCACCGACATTTCAGCACTAGGGACAGGGACAGCTTGCCATTACCAGTCTTCACACTAGATATGCACAGTTCTGGATACAATATAATCTCTAAGCAAATCTTTCGGTGTCCGCAAATACAGTATCAAATTGGCCAGGCAGTATCCACCCTCGGGTGGCCAATGGATATTATTTTCTATTACTAATGCATAACAAATCGCATCCACCGCCCTACATATAACAAAGCGCACGGCAGAATCGCCCCCAAAGTCCACCAATTTGTGTTTCACTGTCCTCAGTAATCTCCTCCATCCGGTAACATGGCCGCGGTGCCGCGGGGCGGAATAACTTCCATCCCTGGAATTCATCATAACTGCAACCGGCACTGCCCGGTCGTTCACCCTACAACATTATCGTACCCAGAACCATGCCTATCTTTGTCGTTGTATGACTGGATGGGTTAGCGTTAGGATAATGAACGGTTCTGGATAGTCTCCGCGTGTCCAGGAACGTACATTTGCCCCAGGCACGGTTCTGGATACGCGTGGACTATCCAGAACCGTGCTTGAGCATGGTTCTGGATAAGGCACGGTTCCAGATACAACATTGACCCTACAGTATACAGCGAAATCCCCGCACGTTTCCAAATATATGAGTTCTATTAGTATCCTTTCCCCCGATGTTACCCGTGCGTTCAGCCAGGAAAAACACTAAGATGTTAATAAATTAGTACACAAGCCGCCTGTGTAAGGCTTAAACCGATTCTGTTGCCGCGTCGCTGGTTTTTAAGCGTACGGAATACAAACTCAGCAGTCAGCGTGCGCTAACACAGCCGGTTGAACAGTGCGTGTATGTAATAACTCAGTCAGTCACAGCAGTGAACAGCATATATAGGCCTGTATGGCTCCTGGGCTGGGTACGGGTTTTGAGGGGGTGAAGTCTGCCATCTCTGATTTCGTAGTTCAGTATTGTTTTTGGCTTGCCTGTGTGTGTGTGTGTGTGTGCGCGGGTCTCTCTCTTTCTGTGTCTCTGTGTGTGTGTCTGTGTGTGTGTGTGTTTGTTTGTGTGTGTGTGTGTATGTGTGTGCGTGTGTGTGTGCGTCTCTCTCTCTCTCTCTGTGTCTGTGTGTGTGTGTATGTGTGTGCGTGTGTGTGTGTGTGTGCGTGTATGTGTGTGTGTAAGTGTCACTGCAATGATTGAAAAGCAGCATATGGGTGTGAAGTCTGCCATCTCTGATTACCTTCTCTCTAAGGCCCAGACACTGACTATCCAGCCACTCACAGTTTCCCCCGCTGCCTGTGAGATCGAACCTGACATTGACTTTGCACTTCAGCCGGAGTTGAACAAACCCCTGTACACTCCGCGGGTCGATAAGACGCCAGAGCAAATCTTTAAGAAGACGGATGCCTCCTTGGCAGCGGCTCGTCTCCAGGGGAACGGCGGGATTCCTTTGAAGTTGATGGGGCAATCAACCGAGATGGCTCGCCAAGACGTCACGTGGATTGTGACGTCAGCGCCAAGCTTTAAAACATCGGGAACAGAAATTAGAGAAGCCGGCTGGAGTCAGAAACCAGCCCAGCCCGCCCGCAGGCCGGTATATCAGACCGTACTGTTCCTGCCGCTTCGCCAAACCCGGCATATGTCATCACAGAGACGCGCAGCGCAGCGGCACCAGACAGCTTCAAACAGCGGGTAGAGTTTGATGATATGAGAGACGTCGGCGTCACAGGTCACAGGGTTTATATATATATAATCCAGACTCCACCGCCGCCTGGTGTGTCCGATAGAACGGCCTGTTCGATGGAACTGTGTGTTCGATAGAAAAGTGCGTTCTAAAGAACGGCGTGTTCGATAGAGAGGTGTGTTCGATAGAACTGTGTGTTCCATAGAGGGCTAGGGACGTGTTCGATAGAACGGTGCGTTCGTTAGAACGGCGTGTTCGATAGAACAGTGATTCTACCGCCGGCTGGACTGGACAGGTACTGATACAGGAACCGACCTGCCGGTCGCTGGTCCCGTTTGTTCCGGTCCGTGTGGAGGTTTAACGGGACGACTTTGATGCAGGCGGTCTGGGGAAATGTTTCTGGCGGCGACTGAAGAGGACAGAGCGCCGCTGTGATCATTTCAGAGTCAAGTTCAACGGCAACTACACAGGGCTGGCAGCGGCAGGTAGGTGGGTTTCTGGGAACTGTTCTGTAGCGCTTTCGTAAGGCGACCGGCAAAGTGCCATCAGAAGACACTTTAAAATCTCCGTTATCTTTTTTCTTAGACTGTTCTTCTTTTAAACTCAGTGCAAATTTCCCTTGTTGTAATGTTTCAATATTATATGTTAAGTAGGAAGGTGAGGTATTTTAAACGCATTTACAATCACAAAGTAGATCATCTGCATTGTACCATAATATACACAGAAATACATTTTTGTGTAGAGCGTCAAAGGTGGTACAATAGAATAATTGTAGCACACCACTATGTTGGTCTAATTAGAGACATTGTCTTCACATGGGATCGTTGTATACAATGTACGGTCGGTATAAATAATAGTGTTGAGAGTTTATATCGCGCACTCTGATCAAATTTGAGGTTTTTCTATTTTTATTCATTTTCACGCAAACATTCACATAGACATAGATCCTCCCTACATAATGTAAACTACATAAGCATTAAATGACTAATACATAAAATATCTATAAATAAGCCTTACAGAAAGTACCAGGAAGATTTGAGGTTTTGAAGGAACGACAACCAAACAACAGAGTTAGTTCGGCCTCATTATCGGACATATAAGACATCGCGGCGACACGAAGATTTGTCACTCCCAGGTTCGATGTATTTCACTTTCGTTTTCATGCCCTTGAGGCGTTTTACGCGAGTCTTAATCAGGATTTCCATCTTTCCTGCCTGCCTGCGTCTCGATAAGGAGATCTTAAACCTTTAAGATGATTGATTATGTAATCAGCATATCGCTATCATCTAAAACACAATCTAGAAACTATTGTGATGGTGATCACGACTTGACGCCAGTTTTTTTATACTGCCAGAAACCAGAAGAAACACACGAATGTGAAATAGATAAAAAAAGTTAGAAAAACAAGAAGAAAATATATAATTGATTGAGGAGGATGGGACAAAGGTATTGTTTTGAATCCGATCCGACTTTTTGGTGATTTGATGCCATAAGTCAAGAATGAACCAGTATAACAAATAAAAACAAAGTAAAAATAAAGAAAAAATAGAAGAAAACCAGTATAATGTGGCATGTTAAAGACAGTTTAGAAGGTGGTTTTAAACCTTTAAGATGATTGATTATGTAATCAGCATATCGCTAGCGTCTAAAACACAATCTGGAAGCTATTGTGATGGTGATTACGACTTGACGCCAGTTTATACTACCAAAAACCAGAAGAAACACACAAATGTTAAATAGATTTAAAAAAACGTTAGAAAAACAACACGGATATATATTATACAGATTCATTGAGGGAGGATGGTATTGTTTTGAATCCGATCCGAGTTTTTGGTGATTTGATGCCATAGGTCAAGGATGAACCAGTATAATGTGACATGTTAAAGACAGTTTAGAAGATTATTTTAAAGCTCAAGTTACAGAAGCACGCATGAATCTGGGAGGGTCTCCAGGAACCTAGTTGGCAGGTCTCCGGGAATCTAGTCGGGAGGTCTCCGGGAATCTAGTCGGGAGGTCTACGGGAATCTAGCTAGTCGAGAGGCCTCCGGGAATCTAGTCGGTGGGTCTCCGGGAATCTAGTCGGTAGGTCTCCGGGAATCTAGTCGGTGGGTCTCCGGGAATCTAGTCGGTGGGTCTCCGGGAATCTAGCCGGGTGGTCTGCGGTTTCAGGCCCGTCCAAGACTCAGAGATCGATGCCGCGTCCGCCGGGGTTTTGCGGTGGAGAAGAAATACGGGCCAATCTTTCCTCTGCCGAGAACTTTTAGATTGATCAATGAGTGGAGTACGTGCGCACCATCACAACAACGTCTGGCGATGAACTCTACTACAAGTTCAAGGCTTACAACAGGCAAAAGTTTATTGGCCAGCGCGGGGTCTAGATACGTTCGCTATCTTTGACCCATTACCAACGTCATGTGATCGTAAGTGGGTCATCATTCACGAAGAAGGCTTTTTGCCGAAAACTCAAAATAAAAACATGCTACTGGAGTAG